TTTGGCTCTTTGCGTAATGCAACCTGGGGCAAAGTGGCGTCTGCACTTCTGCAGCAACCCCTCGCCATCACTTATGCCTTCCTTTTTGCCCCACTACAGTGGCGTTGACGATTGACGAGCAGATGGAATGAAATTGTGGCCGAATGGCCGAGAGCACTCTTTCCATACATCCCAATGTGAGGAAGCTACTAGCGATGATGCGGTGATGAGGCCTGGGATTTCCAACGAAGTGCCATAAGGTATTTGGTGTTTCTTTCTTCGCTTTGCCCAGGAGAAATGGATAAAGCTTCAGATTTATATGGTTATCATTTTGAATGGGAACAAGTGAAACGAAATTTGCATTAACTTAAGTAGCTTATGGTAAGCCAATAAACTTTATAACAAATGTGTTTTAGTAGAGAATTTTAAATAAGGAAATTCTTTGCAGAACAACATTACTTATTTGGATTGAAGAAAAGTTAATCTCACCCTATTGGCCCTTAACTTGATTTACTAAAACAAGATTTTAAGTGTTGTAAGATACAATATTTTATGAAGCCACAGTATTTTGCCAATTTTTGATGTGCTGAACATAAGTTTTGTTGACCCGAATCCATTATTACTATATTAAGCTAAATCAGCTTTTTACTTTTTTACCTTATTGAATACTTTTCGCCTACGAAATATTTTACACAGTAATCTTGTATGCTTCGTCTTAGTCTTTACTTGATATACGATCCCTTATTTTTCTCTGAATTACCTTCAATTACCCTAAACGTCAATTAGCCAAGGAAAAAAACTACTGTGTAATACTCCTACTTTGGTCATGGTCTTATAACTGACATAATAAAGACATTTCAGCGATATGACAATCTTTAGGCTAAACGGACCGAATGACAAGAGATAATGATGTATGAACAAAGGGGGAGTGACAAAAATCAAGGCTAGGAAATACCATACTTATTGTAATTAGCAATTTCAATTGAAGCAGTTGTCATCTCAAAGATAATTACTAATGCAAAAAAATATAAACACAAATTAGAGTGACAATTTTTTTTCCCTAATTGCATACAAATGATTTTATAAAAGATTATTTTGTTTGACAGGAAAGCAAACATTTTTTTATACCTTGCTGTTTTGTGACTTATGATTTCTTGAAAATTTGTGGCAGATCGATTTTTTATACCCTTGCAGAGGGTATTATAATTTTGGTCAGAAGTTTGTAACGCAGTGAAGGAGACGTTTCCGACCCTATAAAGTATATATATTCTTGATCAGGATCAATAGGGGAGTCGATATAGCCATGTCCGTCTGTCCGTCTGTCCGTCCGTCCGTTTGTCCGTCTGTCCGTCTGTTTCAATACCGTTTGCGAGCTCAGTTTAAAAGCTAGCGATCTGAAACTTTCACAGTCGTCCTAAAACAAGTGTACGCAGATCAAGTTTGAAAACCGCCCCGATCGGATGTCTATATCCTATAGCTCCCATAGGAACAATCGGATATAACTTGCAAGAATGGAAGATATTTCGCGCAGTGTAAAAGCTATTGACATAAATCTTTCCAAATCTTATTTTTTTATGCGTACCTTGATAAGAGTAAAAGCGCGTGACGATCGGACGTCTATATCCTATAGCTCCCATAGGAACAAAAGGGTAAAATCGGTTAAAATTTAATGATTTTTAGGATATTTCACGCAGTATACAAGCTATTGACATGAATCTTTCCAAATCCTATTTTTTTATGCATACATTGATCAAGGTGAAAGCGCGTGCCGATCGGACGTCTATATCCTATAGCTCCCATAGGAACAATAGGGTGAAATCGGTCCAAATTTGATGATTATCAGAATATTTCGCGCAGTGTGTAAGCTACTAACATAAAATTTTCCAATTTTTATTTATTTACGCATATCTTGATTAGGGTAAAAGCGCTTGCCGCTCGGAAGTCTATATCTTAAAGGAGATAGGAAAAATTGTTAAAGGCTGCGAAAGTATCCCTTTTGTATATGACATTTTTGCAGTATAAAAGCAATTGACTTGAAACGATGCAAATCTAGTTTACTTATGTATACCTTATTCCTTTCGCTACTTTTTCACTTTTAGCAATTTCGTCAAAGTCTGCAAGGGTATTAAAACTTCGGCTTGCCGAAGTTAGCTTCCGTCCTCGTTATGTTTAATAGCGATACACAGCACAACTATGAAATTAACTAAGTTCATTTTTTAGAAAGGATTATATTTTAACCAAAAATGCCAGTAAAAACAAATAATTAAATACAATGCTCGATGTGGTAATAAGATAATTTATGACTGGCGAAATAGTTGCACTCTCTTCGATAGTTAGTTACAGTAACTTGACTTAACTTCGATGGGTTAATGCCAGATGGATTGGGTAATATCCCCCGTAAGGTCAACGTAATTTGACTTCTATTCACGCCTGCCAGCGATGGCCATTGTAGTTGGTAAGTCAGCTGTCAACGAATGCGGTTTGTTGTTGTGTTTTTTTTTTATTTTACCGCCAGCCAATTGAAAGTGAAAACCCGATGCAATGAACTCTTCGCGGGAGGATGAAACTGCAGAGCATGCAACTCCTACACCACAAGTTGCAAGTTGCAGTCAATAGGGAAAGCAGCAGCTGCGTTAGAAAAATTCAAATTATGCGACAACGGAGCCATTCAAGTGTGGCCAAGAGGCCGCAACAACAAAACCGGCAACAATATCAAGTGACAATCATAAAGAAAGAAGAAAGACAACAACAAAAAAAAAATATAATAAAAATAATAAGCTTCGTAGCTACTTTTTCTCATTACGTTTTATCGGCAGCTATTAAAGCCGCAAAATCTTGGCGACATTTCGTAATGAGGCTTGGAAGGGGACTTTAGCCATATCGAATTGCCAGCAGTTTTGCATGCCCAAGACAAAAGGCTATAAACTTGTTGATTGTCAGTTGCCATGGCTGCCAATTCCAAAACGAAATTCGGATATAACTCCCCCTTGGCCTGGGAAATCGACACCCAATCATTAAATCATGGCCTGACCTTTGCACGCAGTCGCCTGTTCGAACGCCCTAATGAATGCTCTTGGTCAAAAAAAACATAAACATATAAGGAGCAGGGAAACAACGCACAATAATTCTACGGCTAATTACAGTTTAGGCCAAGACCTTGCTAGCATTTTCTTTAAACAAAAGTTTTGCTTTCGATGTTTACGCTTGAGTTTTCAGCGGAATCGGTGGGTGATTATGGCATATTTGCTTGAGAACGAATTGAGGAAATATTGTGATTGTTCGATAAGGTCAAAGGTGGAGGGCGGTGATGGCTGATGACGGCAGCGACCTCCAAAGGAAGTGGAACATGGAGGTGGGAAAATCTAATTTAATGGTAAAGGAAATATAAGGAATTTTAAATAATTACTAGGCAATGTATCGAAACAAATAGGGGAAAAGAACTGAGGAAAAAATAACTCTGTTATTATAAAAAGTCGTTTGTTTGTTCTATTCAGTTTATTTTCACAGGTATCACTTTAATAGACTATTGATAGACTGAGTAGAGAAATTATAAATATATGCAATTGAGTTTTAAGGCTGATAAATAATATATGTATGTTTAACACAAGAAACAAATTTTCCGATAATATATACCTTTTTTTTACCAAGAAATCTTCTTAATTAGATTTATATTTATTTATTTTAAATAGTAAATATAGTAAATAATAAGGATTTGAAAATTCTACAGTGAATTTGTTGGAATTTCGTAACCAAATATAAATATATGATATATAGACACCAATGAAAATTCCCAGAAAAGTTCAATTTCTCATTTTTTGGTTTTATATTTCGATTAATTTATGGTTCTTAAGTTTTCTGTTTTCAAAGATGTGTACATTTTATTGGAATTAAATCTTGAAACATTGGGAAATTGAAAATAATTTTTGCCCTAATAAAACTTTCAATTCCACTTGATGTCTGCTGCTGAACTCGTTGAGACTCTTAATAAAAGTTACATATACCCCCTTCCAACCACTTAGACCTCCCCAACACTCCCCCCTTATCACCCTTATCAATGCCAAATGAAGTTTGCTCTCCAATCTCAACCCACACACGAACAGCAACCGAATCGAGCACTTTTCGCACATAAATCAAGTTGACCTTAAAAAATCAGTGAAACAAAAAAAACTTTGTCAAAACATGGCCAGCAACAACAACTCCAAGACGCCAAAGGAGACGAGGAGTGTCTGGGAGGAGAAAGGGGTGGGGAGGCTGTCAAGGCTACGTGAAAAACAACAAGGTGACATAAATATCCAGTTGCTCCAAAAAGGAAACTAAACTTTAGTCTTTTTTTTTGCCAAGGCAACATAACAAAGTGCGAGAGATGGGCATGAGGTGGAGTGGGAGGGGAAACGGAGACACGTACCATGCAATGAAAGCATAAAGTTATAAAGGGGACACTCGAAAATAAGAACATCCTGGTACTGAAATTCTTCATAAATATTTGGCTCTTTTATTCAAAGAAAATATCGGCATAAACACTAGAAGTTTAAAAAGATAAAAGAAATGTTTGAGATCATCACATCAAAATATCTCTTGTTATTATGTATGTAATGTATAATGTTTTTCTTAAATTTGTATTATGGTATTATTATTAATTTAAAACTTTGGCTTTTATAAATAAGACATACATACATAAATAAATTTCAATGCTTCGTTGGTGACTTAACCAAAATCTGGACTTTACAACAAGTTTTCAGAATAAATTTAATCACAAGAAAGTCGAGCTTTCGTTTTGCCAACAAATAATATAAATGTGTGGCGGTTTTACAACAACGAGACCAAGGCCCAGTCTAAAATCTCCCTAAAGCACAATGAACATTTATATTTTTCATTTACATAAAATATGTACATATGTAAATAATTATTTGATATGTTTTCTAAAATAATAACCAAGTCAACTTTGTGGATCGCTATCTTATTATAAGGAATTCTTCGAAGAACAAGAAGTTTCCCTTTAACCTGGAGATCACTGTACTAACCTGCTGGTGTGCTGGCTGATGTGTCGGTTGCATTGGCCAGACAAGATTGAGATTCCTGGCGGATAGTGGTGGTTGTTGATGCTGAGGGGGGAGTGGCGGGAGGTGCGGAGGGGGGTGGTTGGGTGGCGGTGGGGAGAGCAGCTGATTAGCGGCGCCAAAGTGTATCAAATTGGCGGTGTGGCGTCGTGCTGGAAGAGCGGGAGGCGGGGTTGCGCAGGGGGAATCCTGTTCGCTGTCTCTCTCTAGCGATTCCTGATTCTCCAGTTGTTGCTTTTGTTGTGGTTTGGCCTCGTTTGTCGCCGGTTTCTTGGGCAATGTCAAGGAATTGTTGTTGCTACTGTTCCCATTGTTGTTGTTATTCAGCGAAAGCGAACGCGCAAAAGAACTTTTGAAATAGCGACACGGCATCTGAAAATCAAAGTCAAGATCCGTTGCCTGCTGCATTTTTGCTGTTGTTTTTTGCATATCTATCGCTCAAATAGGAAATTTTTATTTATACTTTTATTATCTTTGTAGTACCTATTTTTCCCTATTTTCGTTTTCTGTCTGTTTTAAATTGGCATTGTTGATGTTTTTCTATATTTTTTTTCTTTTTGATTATTGCATTTTTTCACGCACTCATAAGCACACTTTCACACACTTACACATAAATCAATTTGTTTTTGACACCCGATTGCTTTTTCCAATGCAATTTAATAGAAATTCAATGGAAATCAATTTCAATTTCTTCGATTTATTTGAGCGCGTGCAAAATCAAAATTCACAAAAAGCCGCAGCGATTTTATTTTGCGTCCGAACTGTTGGGCTTTTTTCCGAAGAATGGGAAAATAAATTCAAAATATAACCGGTGGGGAAGAAGAAATATAGAGAGGCAAAGCAAGGTAACCAAGCAACGGAAAAAGAGCTCTGCAAAGTTTAAAAAGAGAGACTAAACAGAAAGCTGTACTGTTAATAACAGTGCAGTGATCGCCATCGATCGATTTTAATACACATAAAAGTATGCAATAGATTTGGTGTAATAATATGTCAAATTGTTTGTCAAATTCATTGAAATGCGGAAAACTTTCTTTATAACAACAAACTTAAAAAAAATAAAAAATAACATTAAATGAAGTACCCCGTGTTCCATGAAAATTGAATTAAATTATAGTCTTAAAAACATTTTAAGATTCTGTTCAGTAGGTTAAAATTAAAACTACATTTTGAAAATAATTTTTGTAGATAATATGTAAAAGATACAGCTGCGACAAAATTATAGTAGTGCTACCTTCTTGTATCTTCGTTATGGTTATTTATAAGTACAATTGAATACAAAATAAATCCGGACCATGAAATCAAATGGAGGCTAAGCTCGGTCGTTAAAAATACTATTTACAAATTTAAAAATAATTAAGAAAGTAATATACAATTGTATATTACTATGATTTCGAAAATGTTTTTTTTTTGACCGACGTATTTTGACTTTAATAAATTATTGTATGTTCTGACTTTGGATCGGTGCTCTATATTGTCAAGAAGCCTTTCAACATAATTTGATTCAAAATAGGTCTAATGGTAATGCAGTGATGTTGATTAATAAAGTAATTTGTGTTTTTATCACTCCAAAGTCTTTATTACCTTTATAAATTAAAAAAAAATTATTGATTTAGGGAACGTAAATTAGAAATTAATCATCGCCCGTTTTAATGGATATGCTAATATTATATAAGTAAAATAAATATATAATTATATATATTAAACCAAAAATGAATTATCAAAACACATATTCATCAAAAACAAGATATGCATTTATTGAAGGGAACATCATGTCGTTATTCTGGGTCAAAAAGGCAAATTACAAAATATTTTTATTAGAACAAATAATATCACTTAAGCTATCGACGTTTTGTATGAGTTCCCCCCTTTCAAGGAGGCATTAGTATTCGGTCCCTTCCAAAATAAACCCCTCCCGTTCATCAGCTAAGTAATCCCCGGCCTAATTCCCATACCTTATGTGGTATCTAAATTGGGGGACAGGTTGCCAATCAATTTGATTGTGTTGCGCTGATGTTTGGCCCTGTTTATCTAGCTTAGGGGAAAGGATTTTTTCGGCTTTTATCATAACAGAAGTGATTAAGTTTCCTTTTGTGAAATGCACTTATGTACATACATATGCATGAACATATCCCCCTCTGTCAAATTAAAAGAAGAGGTAATGCTGAAAAGTTGTAAACTTTAAACACTTACACTTAAAATAATTTTCAAAGCTATAAAGTAAAATTAACAAGTAATTATAACCGTCAAATTTTGGAACGAAGAAACCAATTTTTAGGATAATGTTTAAAGAATTATCTGAAAACTTAATTTTTTTATTATTAAAAAAATTTAATATTTGTATCTATATTTTCACAAAATATTTTTAGGAGAATAAGAGATATAGAAGGACTTTTTTATTATAAAATACATCATTGTATCTGAAATTGTGGTTTCGTTAATCTTAAGTTTAGAAAAGGAACAAGTTTTAATGAACTACAAGTTCAGATACTTATGATTTTTTCTACTAAAACTAAAACCCAAGTAGGTTGACAAAAATCCTTTTGCAACTTGACCCGCTGCCACTAAAATAGAAATAGAGGGATTAGTCAGCATCGGTCGTAGTCGCATAGTGGGTACTTAGTATAGATTTCTATTTTTATGGCCCCACGATCCACTGTTACCATGTGCGCATGCCCCTGCGACTCTCCGTTATATAAGGCTTATATAAGGGGGCCATGCGAGAGAGCGGGACAGTAGTACATTACTTGGCGCTCTCTGTGCTCCCCCGACTAGCCCCTTCTCGCTCTGCCCCGCTGAAATGGCTCCAGAAACGATTGCGACCACGTGATGCGTTCCACCGGCTGCAGTGAAGAGAGAGGTAGAGAGTAAAATAGAGAGAGGTAGTACTTGAAGTTGCTCTTGTTTTGATTTTCAATTTATGTTCCATGCTCCCCCGCGCCGCCTTGGAAATGATTTAATCTTTTTCGAAAATAGTTTCAGTTACGCGTTGTTGCTGCGACCGTGTGTATCGGTAATCGGTTTTTTAAGATTGGCAATCGATAGAAGAAGAGAGTGTGATGAGCGAACACAGGGAGAATATCATGGATTTATCCGTGCGAGGTAAGTGGTTAAGTATGTAAGTAAGTAAGCACCTGTCCCCTCCTTTCCACCTCTTCCCCTCTCTCACTCTTATTCAAAACAACAGAAGAAAAGAAACACGTGCATTGGTGAGAGTGCGAATCGGGTTTGTTTGCTCTGCCTCTCACTCACACCTTCAGGGGGGAAAAGAGAGAACGAGTGAGGAAAAGAGAGCGAGGGAGAGAGAGAGCGAGTGAGGGAGAGAGCGATGGGTGGGCGTGTGATAGTAAGCTTTTGCATGGTTTTTTTTGCGAGGGTTAAGCCCCCCCATGTGACAAATTATTTGATTTTGTCTTCTGATTGCTACAAATTGGTTTCTTTGATTTTTTTTTTGCTATTTTTATGGTGATTTTTTGTTTGCCATGCGGCGGAGCCTTAAGCAAATAGCGGTTCATTTACACACACGCAAAATGCTTAAGGTATGTACAAAGAAAGAGGTATGTATGTGGAAAGAGCAAGTGTATTTCGTTCGGGTTTCAATTGGAACGTCACTAGGTACAGTGGATAACAGAAAACCTTTCATTAGGTGTCGTGAAATATCGGTTATTATCTATTGGATTTCCAAATTCAAAACATATAGTAGCATACTTTTCAGCCCCCTTATTAGTAATTTTATGCTAGAGATTTACTTTAGATATGTAAAACGATTTTTGCTTGCACTTTAATTTAATTTTAATCAAGATATTTAAAGAAAAGCTTCATTTTAAAAGATGTCTTACAATTTTACTATATCTAACATCAAAATATAGTTTTCAGAAATAATAAATGTGATAATGTCTCATCGTGAATAATTTTTCTTACTAGCATGCTTGATATAAATTATTTTCTCTAGTAGAAAACAGGGAAGCGTGACTTTTCGTTAGTTTACTCATGTACTTACTCACTGTACTAGCTGGCGAATAAAAAATTCAGAATTTACACAGCATGCTGTCATTAATTAGTACAGTCCAGATGCCGCCTAATTGATATATTGTTGCCCCGCCCCAGGAAACCCCCATTCCCAGCCCCGACCACTTATCCACTCCACCAAACGACTTCCCCCGAGATAAACCCGTATTTACCCACCCGATCACCTGCGATCGATATGCATAGCATTCGATACACCCCAACAACTGACCCCGTTGGATCTTGCGTCGGCATTTACGGCCTTTGATATCAGACTAATCAAATGTTGGGGAGTTCGATAAAATACCATGAATTTCTTAAGTCCATTCCCACATAGAACTTTTCGGTTGCCATGATGAACTGCTGTCCAGAATTGGTGAAATAGAAACGACGACGTCGTCGTCGCCAGTTGTCGCCATCCCACAATCACAATCAATTGCACTGTCATCGCGTCGCCGGATTCGTTATCAGGAGGCAAGGAAAGACGAGGTTACCAGGCGACTATAAATATTTACCCTCATGATATAGTTGGGCCGCATAAAAAGTGAGTTGTGGCTCTGTGGCTGGTGATTATGATGACTATGGTGATGATGGAGGCAGAGGCTAGTTTAATTATAAGCCTGAACAGCTAAAGCACACAGTTGCCATTCATCGCTCACGTTTACAAAATGGGCACTGATAAGCATGAACATGTAATAAAGACACCTTTTTTTCTGACTTTTAGAACTAAGTGTCAGACACTTATGGTTGATAAAAAAAAAAGTGTGTATGACTAAATTTAAAATATAAATAACTAAAATTTTTATTATAAAATATTTTCTTTTCAATGTTATTAATAATTTTCAGTAAAACATACATTTTTAAAAATTTTAATTTATTTGTGAAATAAAATTAAACTGCCTATTTCAATTAAAATTCAAAAAATTTTTAAAATTGAATATAAAATTTAGTAATATAGTAAATGCTTTTTGATAACGTCCCTTTATTTATAACGGTTTAAAATGTTATTTGTTTGCAGTGCAGTTTGTTGTACCCTAATATTCATCATTTTCTAGTAACTTCTCAGGCCGATCAAGAAAACTCTCAGCAAAAGCTCACGAGAGTGCCTCTCAATCGTGTTCTCCATATAAAACTGGCTCTCCCTATCTGCGATTCGGTTTTTTTTTGCGATCGGATCACATGGTCAGGTTTTCGTGGCGGTGTTAGAAGCTCCAAGTTCCATTCACTCGGCTCCGGCTGATAAGATCGCAACGCACGCTTCTGGGCGTGGAAAATTTGACATTGCAAAAATAGAATAATTGATTCCAAAAACCAAAACAATCTATGTCGCAATTGGGATGCTGATCGACAAGCCATTATCTTGTTTAGTACCACTAATCTGCTTCCAAAATCGGGTCACTAAACACGCGACTAACCTGAATGGAAGCCTTGGCACGCGCCCCTCTATAACCAAAATAACGCGTCTGGGCAGTTTTGGAAAATTTCTGAACAATCTGAGTCAGGCGTTTTTTTTCGGGTCGGTCAGTCTTGCAAGTGGAATTGGAAGTGGACTTGGACAGCCGGTGGCGTGATGATAAAAACATATAGTATACGCATGGAGCATAAAGCGATGCCAAGGCTTTTGTTTTGAATCGATCGGGGAACGGTACAGTCCCCATACCGCCATAAAGGGGAATTGCCTATAGATTAGATTCACCAACTGCCAGACATTTATTCAGTAAAAAGCCTTTATCAAGTCATTTTGATATTTTAAAATTGTGACATTTCGTCACTAAGTTTTTATT